GAGAGAGAGAGAGAGAGAGAGAGAGAGAGAGAGAGAGAGAGAGAGAGAGAGAGAGAGAGAGAGAGAGAGAGATGCACGGAGGGTGGCAGCATGGAGAAGGATTTGTAGCTCATGGGTTTGTGGGTGATCCTGTGATTGAAGTTTTCACCTTGCTGAACTGGACTGGGGCTGCTGCATGACCGCGCATCCACATTTCTCATCATATTTGTCACATTCAGGTCTACCCTTGTTTTGCCTTTGAGGTTGTGTTTGTGTTGCCAGTTGCGTGTGCGTCATCGTTTGAGTTTTCAAAAACAATGTGAATAGATGCTTGAGGGGATGTTGCTTGATTAGGCTCGGGGGCAGGTGCCACTGGTGCTATGTTTGTGCTTGGAAAGCATGAACCTGGTCGTCAGGGGCGGCAGGTACGACCAGGTTCATGTTTACATAACATGAACATAGCACCAGTGGGGTCAGGCCCTCAGTCTCACCAAGAAACTGAGAAAAGAGTGAGGGATTGTTTTCAGTAGACCGAAGTATGAGAACATGTCTCCGCATGGCGGTTGCAGGGCAGAGAAAAAAGGCAGAGAAATGCACACCAACGTACGCTTTTTTCCCCTTATAAGAAAGAAAAAATTTGTCACCTTGAAGGACGATAGGTCTGGACTCTGGACATGACAGCGTTCAATCGGGCCTAGCCGTCTTCATATGCGTACGACCAACAAACAGCATCAGCCGTAGCAGCACTTCTCTCATGTGGTTCTACAGAGGAATATAGAGAGGTCGCGCCTTCGTGTGGATTTTTTTCATCCTGGCAGAACAGTGATTGTCGCCGAATTTGTCGGAAGATTTTGGCACATAGCGAACAGAGACATAAAGGCGTGACGTCCGGAGGCATCTGGCAAACTCTGAAGAGATGCCATTCTTTCCCCATTTTTGCAAACTCGAACGGATGGGGAAAGAATGGCATCTCTTCAGAGTTTGCCAGATGCCTCCGGACGTTTGCCAGATGCCGTCGGAGAGCGCATGCTTCTAAGGATGTGCTCCGTTCGAGCGCACATTTTTTCAGCCTCGTATGGCGCACTCTTCTTTCCCCATTTTTGCAACCTTTTTCATTCTTTCCTGATGTGTAAGATCGGACAAAAGAGCAAGAGCAATCACCGGCGATTCACCGCCATGAGGAGGGAGGTGATTATTCATAAACCGAACATGTCAGGCGAACTCCAACCAGCAGACGATGACGTCAATCTGAGGGAACTTGCTCTCGTCTCTCTGGCTATGGCCGGAAACGGACGGAGATAAGTTGTGAAACGCCGCCATAGCCGCGGAGCAAACTCCAACCACCAGAAGACTATGCGCATTAGGAGATGCAAGAAGCGTACACTGATGAAGACGTTCAAGACAGGCCTGATTTGGAGATGAGTGTTGTCAACAACCCCGAAGATTAATGCGATATTGATGGGCCAAGGGTGCAGTTTTGAGGGACGTATTGTACCTCCAAAATTTCCGCTGTTGTGCGTCTCGATGTTCTGCAGCAGTTAATGAGTGGATGGTGGGATCAACAATTAGGAAATGTCGTTGTCCCCTCGTCAAGTCTGGATGAGCGAGCAGTGGCAAATGAGATACAGAGGAGATGCACCCTATTGGAAGTTGGTTATCGCAATCAACTAACATGAATGGATGATGCTGGAACGGGGCGGGGCTTTGAAGAGTTACATGGCAGCAGCACCTCTGGCAAAAGATGTTGCTGGAATTGTTGACGATGAGCGGCAGTGGGAACATGGGTGACGATGCTCATCGGATTTTCCGTCGACGGGGTACACATTTTCAGTAAAGAAGGGGAGAGGAGTTTAAGTCTGTCAGTGACTGAAATGCACTCCATGAGCAGGCAGAGGTGAGTGCACACGTCTCTTTGCATAGCGAGACACATCCTGTTGTGCCCATTTGGTCTCTTTTCGAAGCACAAAGGGCATTTTTTTTCACTAGTTGCAGATTAAACACCCTTCGCATGGCACCCATAACAGGAGTGAGAACTACAGTACCACTGTGGTGATCTTCATCAGCCGGTCTCCATGATCGATTACCGTCAGCAAAGCCTTCAACAGTTATGGGAGTAGTAGTAACCAAATAAGGGGTGTATTGTATGAAGACAAAGGACCTGGTAGCCTTTGACTAGCAAATTCAAAATTGTCAACACTTGTTGACACTTTCACAAATTTTAGATGCTTTTTTTCCTGTGAATCTCTCTGAGTGACATGATTTTCTTTATCCTCATTTCTCCACTGATCAGCAAGTACTTCATCCCTCCCCGCTTCTGCTCCCCACCCTCTCCCCTTTCCCACCCCCTTCCACCTCTTCTTCCCAACGTGCCCACCTCCGTCCTCCCTTCTGCACTGAATCTCGGGCAAAGGCAGCCCCACTCTATGCGGTTTTAGGCTTTTGGCACCAAATGGCATGCAGTGTGTTCAGATTGCAAATATTCGCGCACCACTCTAAGGGCATACTCACACAAGGCCCGACAAAATCGCAAAATGAGCGGCCAGATTGAGTCCTTGCAAACGAACTCCCTCGATCCGGCCACTCGTTTTGCCATTTTGTGATTTTGACGGCCTAGTGTGACTGCACTGTAAGAGGCAGGACAGACTGTTTCTGTCTTCTCAGCCCATCAAACTTCTCACGAAGTTGCGTCAAAACGCCACCAAAGCGCAAGATATCACCATAACCAGACAGGCATCAATGCGATGAACAGCAAGCAGTGTGTTATGGATTTAAAGGATCTCAACTACTTCCATCCATCATCTCACTTACACAGTTGGTTTAATTGAGATGACACTTGATTGCGACTCCAAAGGAAATTGGAATTGAACAATCACTCCCGGCGTCGGACGGGCAGCACCTCCCCACACATACGAAATCCTGGCGCCGTGTGGTAAATCCAGCGTCACCTCTCTTCGTAATGGTGTGCCTCTGCCGAAAAAAATTGGCAGCATAACCCCTGGAAATGTCGCACCTGGTCACACAGTCACTCCACGTAGTGCCGCCTCACAACAGTTCACCGGTGCAGTCTTACGGCCACAGCCCCAGCATGGAAGTGGGGCAAAATGCTCCCAACCCCTGGCTATGGCTGCCTTGGCCTGCCCCCCCCCTAGAGCAACAACACCTCCTTCTCTCTCTCTCTCTCTCTCTCTCTCTCTCTCTCTCTCTCTCTCTCTCTCTCTCTCTCTCTCTCTCTCTCTCTCTCTCTC